ATACTCTACTCTAAGCTAAATTATAATATAGGCTAATAGAGCCTTAAATCTAGTTATAAGAAGACTTAGATGCCTAGATTTACTTAGAGAGGTACTTTAAACGCTATAAATAATATACCTAAGCTTATATATTCTACTAAAAATCTTAGATACTAAATTATTTTACTAGGTAATATAATAGATTTAGTCTATAACTAGATAATATAGTATAAGCCTAGGTTTAAAATATTTTTTAGTATATATCTAAATAAAATTACTAACTTTAACCTTTAGAATATCTTTTTAAAAGAGGAAAAGTAAAGTTAATTATTTTATATATTTATATATATAAGCTTAACCTATAACCCTTATATAGTAAGGGATATAGTACCTAAGAAGGTCTAGGTAAATTAGCTACCTAACCTTAAGATTATAAAGTTAGAAGAGGAGTATATAATACTTAAGTAGGGAAGGTATTAAATTAATAGTAGTAAGTATAAAGATAAAATCTAAGTAATTATAGATAAGATTAGAAATAAGAGGATATAAAATAAAAAGAGGGTTATAAAAGAATATTATAAATATTATTTTTATAACTATCCTACCTAGGATATTAAGGCCTAAGCCTATAAGGAGGTAGAAGAGGAATATAAGTAGCCTATAATAAACCTTATTATACTAGAATAAGTAAAATTAGCTAATATTCTATATCTATAACCTAATAACTAAATAGAAATAGAGCTATTCTAATATAGAGTTAAGGCTATTAACTTAATAGTAGCTTTATATAATAAGAAAGAAACTAGTAAAATAAGCTATATATAATACTTAGCTATAGTTAAGGCTTTTATTAAGTAATAGTTACCTAGAAGTAATATATTATTTAAGTTAGATCTTAAATTAGATCCTTTCTTACTTCTTATAGAAGTAATATAATACCTAGACTATATTAGTAATAAGTAGTTATTAGTTAAGGTATAAAAATTTAAGTAGTACTATCTACTAGTACTTAATAACTACTTTAATAATATATACTTAGCCTATTAAGAGACTACTATATAATATAGTAAGATAATTTAGTATAGCTATCTAAAATATAGATAAGAGAAGTTTATCTATATAGATTATTTCTAAAGCTATGTTAAGAAAGTCTATAGCGTAAGCCTTAGGACCTTAGACTAAGTCGTAAAGAGGAGATAATAATAGGCGGTACGCTATGAAAAAAAATGTAGAGGACGGAAGTAGAAGAGGAGTATAGAGAAGGCCGCTATAAAGACATGATCTAGCTACTTATACTATACATGTATTAGAATATAAGAGTTAAATAACAAAATCGCCAATATTTAGCATTTAAATTTCTCTGTGCCTTACTCAGTAGCTTCTGGCCTGATTCGATGGGTGCTATGGTTAGACACTCTGACATCCTCTCCCCACGCTGCTTTTTTGTTCTGGACAATTACGGTGATGTTCGCCCTTTCTAGGCATAAGCATTAACCATCAGCTAAGCGTGAGCCATCCTACGGACGGCCTTCTTTATTATTTCGATTAATGGTAGTGGGCAAACGCCAAGTGTTAGGTTTTTAAAGAGCTTCATGAACCTTGACTTTAGAAATATTTGCTGTGTTTTCATCCTGCACCTGAGTTCGAGAAACCTGCTCGTGAAGACTACTCTCGTTATTTACCTCAGTAGAGCGCTGCCCGTCGTATGTGTTCGTATCAACACCCCCAGCTGAGACATTGCTAGAAGCAGGCACGGCAGATACTGGATGAGAGATGTGCTCGCGGAGGGGGTGCTCTACCCCTGTGTCTACCTCGCCAATGTTCGTGGACCTATGGGCTTGCGAAACGGCATGATCACCGGAGTCGAAATAAAACCTTTCCTACGCGGGCTATTAGATTTTGCTATGAAGAGGGGTAAAGCGAAATAATTGCTTCTGGTTTGGCTTACCTTTAGCTGGCCTTTTAGTAGTCTATTTCTGGGCAGCTTATCACCGTACAAGGCGTGAAGATGAGACTCTCTCGCGATTTGCGGATTATAGCTCTAGTTTTCGGCTATACTAATGCTAATATAAAATCATGAGTCGTGTTATGTTAATGACTAGCTTTAATGCAATACTATATATGGCTAATTAATACTCGCCACTTCTACGACTATATGTGGTGCGGCGCGGGCATTGAGCTAATTACGTCTGATTCGGTAGATATAGTGGGCGTTGGCAGATCGCGCACTTGTCATGTCACTCGCTACTTCCCCGTTTTCCCACTTCCTGTGATGCTTATTAAGATGCTAAAACACTTACGCTGTGCTATAGATATTTCTCCTTACTAAATAAAAGTTCGCTGAAGCATTTTATAATATAGATAATCTGGAATGGGCATGGCCGGCTTAGAAGTTCGATTTGAAGATGTACGATGGGTTCGAATAACTATATGCTAAGTATAACACCTTCCTGGCTTAATCGCTGCTATATAGTGGTATTACGCTATATAGGTCTTTTGTATAAAAGCATTTGATTCTTTGGTTGGTTATTTTGCATCCTATATTGGTAGCGACGGCTTGAATCCTTCTGACAACTTAAGTTCTTTTTAATACTTGATTATGATCTCTTAGTATTGTAATTACTGGCTACGTAGATAGCTACCTTATAGCCTTGATAAGGACTTAAATTACTTCTGGTTGAATAATCTATAGTAAGTCTATATTTAGATAGCTGCTATAGTTAAATTTAGAAGATAGTGGGAGAAGGCTAATACCTGTATTACTAGTGGATATTTTTTAGGTAGTTAGTCAATATACGTAACTGAGAACCTAATAAAGAGGTAGGATAATGTGAGATAGAGCACTAGCTACTGCATTGGTATTTTGGTGCTTATCGCCACTATGCTGGAAGTGCTGTGAAATAGTATTAGAAATCTGCTGGGTGTATTGCTTAAGTCTGCTACCTATTAGTCATCTATTACGAAGGTGGGTGGTATGGCGCGACTTGTATGTAGCGAACTGGGTATAGCTGAACTGCGCTACCCCATAGACTTTTCAGGCAATGCCCAGGCAAGTTAACATCGATAGTTAGATCCACGACCAAACCCATGATTCCGTTAGGGCCAGAACGAGCAGTATGCTTCCGATTGGCGCTCCCGTCAGCGCAATTAGCCATTGCCCAAATTAAATTTGGGATGATGGCAGAGACGCACCGATCGTTATTGTCGTGGATGTGCTTGATGAATGTGAGTGAGAAAGTGATATCATGCTCCTAATTCGCCTGTTGTTTTAAGCAAAGACTAAGTTGTTAAACCAATTAAGATGTTCCTTTAGTGGAGTGAAGTGAAACTGCCAACACTACGTACTCTGGGCAAATGTAGTGGACGCCTGCATATCGTGCGCTAGTTACGTCGCTCGCATCCCTGCTGGATTCCTTGGTTAAGTGGTGGATTTACTCCCATATACAGGGAGCTCGAAACCCAGAGAACATGACTTTATGGAAGAACTGGAATGGATACGGCGGACCTGACAATTTCGTGTTGAAGATGAATAGTGAATTTCAACAGCTTCATGCTATCGCTCATAGACATTTTTGTTATAGCTAACAATGGCATTGTGCTGTCCAGCTCTTCTTCTCTCAAACTGCCACCTTTCTCCCTAGTCGTGCTGTTCTCCGAGATAGTCTCTAGCTATCGAAAGGAAGCATGATAGCGCCAGATCTACGTAGACATTTTCAGATCCTGACTGGTGCCGATGCCCATGATAGCCGTGAGTCGGGCGATACGGCTGCAACCAGTTCGAATTGGTGCTCACAACGCTAGGCAGGCTGCAGCTGTCAACAACCACCAGGCTACAGCATTCCAAAAGTACAAGGTCAAGCTCCACTATAAATTTCGTGACATGGCTAGCTATCTGCCAAATATTATTGCCCAAGTTTTCGCCTGCCCCTTTCATGCCCTCTTCTTGACTCTATGGCATTTCAGAGCGCAGTCGACTCACCATGCCGGAAATTGTATGTTTGCGACGTTAATCAATTAATACGCCAACGCTAATCAGGGGCCTGCTTGCTCAATAGGTACAAATCCAGGTTGGCCAATGTGTAAGAAAAGCTCCTACTCCTACTATTTCAATTTAATGACAATCACAGGGCAACCAAATCGGTACTGCATTCTGGCAGACGATCTTGGGCGAACACGGTATAGATAACGATGGTATGTATGTATTGCATGACATTCTATTATCACACAGTGCTTAAATGAGCACTGTCATTATGTGTCATGTCTGACCATCATATCAGTTATCATGGAGACAACGAAGAACGCATAGCACGCGCCAACGTCTATTTCCACGAGGTATATACAGAACCGCGCTTACTATTCCCAGTCGCCCATATAACAATGCTTTACTAACTCCATTCATAGAACGCGGGTAGAAAATATGTGCCACGCGTGGTGCTTGTCGACCTCGAGCCAGGCACAATGGATGCCGTGCGGGCAAGTCCTCTTGCTAAGCTCTTTCGACCGGATAATTTCGTCTTTGGCCAATCTTCTGCCGCGAACAACTGGGCGAAGGGCCACTATACCGAAGGTGCGGAGCTGGTTGATGACGCCGTCGATGTGATTCGCCGTGAGGCAGAGCAATGTGATTGCCTAC